ACAGGGTTTAATGTCTTTCTGTAAGTTAGACGTGAACAGACACAGTCTTGAGGGATCAGGCAGAGAGCAGTACTTAGTTCAGTCTGTGTTCAAAATCTTCAGCAGGGCAGCAGGGAAGGCAAGGCAGAATCATAAGTCGTTAGAACAGGCAGGGTGTCTATCTCAGGATAGCAGTCACTAGTGATGGCCATCAAACACCGAGCCCTCAATACATGATTCGAGCTGGGAGAGGGATCTTCCATGAACCACTGCCTCGAGGCTTGTATCGACACGTGACTGATGACGGCCGATGCAGAAACGCCTGGCCTGAGTGACTCCCGTGACCAGTTCAGACTGTTGATACAGTGTCATGTCGCAAGATTTCGCTGCGCGCGTCAGCAGGTGCCTGGGCATAGGGGTACTATAAAGCCACCCAAGATGATGCACAGCATGTGGGTTTGTTGGCATAGTAGGTGTGTGCGTAGTCGCTATCAGTATGATCATTGCTTCTGGTGTGTGATCACCATGGAGCCAGCTAGGAGTAAAAAGGATTGATTCTCCATCCCTTGTATTTATTCACACTCTGTCCTAGTCACATACGCACATATTATCATCCTAGCACATCCTCTGTTTCCCCAAGCATGCCTTCTCCCACCTACTACACTACATACGTTCATAGACTCGACTGACTGTCCAACCAATCTCTACAAACATTTTCACATCATTCACACAAAGCCTAGTTACACCCATCACATAATTCAGACATTGTTCTGCTGCATACTATTTTGCCACCAGATGGCACTAAACTGAACCTTTGAATGAATGAACCAATACTTGATACAAATGATGAAGTGGTTCGATACAGGTGTCATGGTGTCAATTGGACATCAGTAGCAGTCAGGCAAGAGGGAGGAAGCTGGATCACAGGTCGGTAGAGCAGGCATGAGTTCGGATAGCAGTCACTGGAAATTGATGCCAGAGAGTCTAGATAGGGCATAGAACAATCTGGCAGCTCCCCACAGGGTGAGGAGCTGCTAAATACTGTGGTGAGCAGGTGTGAGTGTTTAAGGGGCAGGTGAAACAAATGTGCATGATGAGATGAAGTTACCAGGAGTTAGGATTAGCTGGGGACAGGAAGTGGTGTCAGAATAAAAGCAGGACTGGAAGCTGATGGGGCAGGATCATGACAATATGATGGAGTATCTTAATTACAGAACTAAATAAGAGCAGCTAAGGAAATAAACAGGGAAAAAGTAAAAGGGTAGATATTTGAAAACAATATAGTACCTTAGGAATTACACCAAATTTATACAACAGAACAATACAGTTCAAAACTATGCTCTTGTTACCAGGTCGATACCTGGTTAGACTGACTTAAAGCCCATTAGAGGTCTGATATGAACATAGAAACATCAGTACAGTGCTGTTATCTGATATACTGTATTTGTGTGTTGCAACCCCTATAACAATAATCTGTTTAAGGGGGCAAATCCTAATACATTTATCCATATTAAGTGCACTTCAGAAACCATACCTGTTACAGAAGGCCCTTAGAATAATGTAAATAAAATATATTTTATTTATCAGGTTAAAACACATACAGGGCCATTAACAGACAGTTGCCTGAAACACAGAGACCAATAAAACTTTATGTGTGAGTATGCTGCTGCTGGCTGCACAGCTGGAGCTCGAGGACATGGTGGTGGAGGGGGGAGGGAGGGAGATGGGGACTAGATATGCTCCTGCGCACGCAATGTCAGAGCCATCTCAGAGCCATATGGTTCATAAGACAAGCATGCACCTTGCCAATTTCCATATTTCATACTTTTTTGTTAACCAATGTTCATTGTTGACTCATAATACTCTAGTAAGCACGAATGTACATTTGGCCTCAGGACAGTCATGCTGGGTCAACTTACCTTATCTGTAATGAAGTCTTGACAGCTTTTGTGTTATTGTACTACAGTATGTATTGCAGTCATCATCCCCTGGCTAACATGTAAGCAACCCCTGACAAAGTGCATCCAGACTATACCTGTTAGACCCACCCCAGCAGCTAACCCATGCAACAAAAAGCAACTACAAAAAGACATAACTAAAAAAGGAGAAAGAAAAGACCATAAAGATGGAAAAATTAATACAAAATCATGCCACACTACAGAAAGAGAGAGAAAAAAACTACAAGGAGATGCAAAACCATTAACTAACAAATATACAAAACTAACTAGGTGTAAATTACTACAAAGAAATTTAGAATATAAAAATTATTGCAAAACAGCTACAGAGGTAAGAACACAAAATAATCATAAGACAAGCTAGCTATGAACTTCTCATGGTTACTCAATCTGAGTCTTGCTCCCAGAGGTTACATAGTACTAGCTCTAGTGGCTCCTTGGAGAAAAACATGCAGTATAATACATATATTGCATATTTGACAGATATAATAATGGGTGCAGACCAAACTATTGTGTTTACTGGTTTCCAAAAATGTCACTCACTGTAATTTCATCCAAAGGCCTCTAGGGCTTTCCCTCAAACCCTAACAAGAGGTCATATCATGTAGAGTTGCTGGCAAGGTAACAGCAGGTTAACCACTGTTTGAAGAGGAAATGAAGAGAAAAATATACCTGTGGTGGTGACACGAACATGGGATGCTATGGCCTGGGGAAAAGACCCTTGTGGTCATAGAAGGATTTTGTGAAATATTTTACTGGACCTTATTCTACACCACTTGATGAATTTAATTCCTGATGGTAAATTTTATTTAAAAACTATGCATGCATTAATCCAAACTTGGGGGTGGGTGGCTTTTTTCCTACAGTAAAACCCTAGCCATTCCTAATGTCAGGATGTGGGGGTGTCAGTTCAGTTGTAGAGAAGTCAGTAAAACCATAAATCATAGTCAAAGCTCTGATGCTTGAATGAAAGTAACAACAGAAATAATAAAAATGTGCCATGTTTTGATATACCCCTATAATTAGGTGGGAGGTACAAAATCTTAACACATAAAGGTGTGAAAGTACAGGAAAAAGGACGTGTGGGTGGTGTTCTGGAGGTGGAAGGGGCCATAAATCAGTCATTTCACACCTAGTTTGACAGAGTGGTATTATATTACTCTCTACTTACTTATTTATGGAAACTGCCCAAATGAGAAAAAAGTATATGTTAGCAATCCCTTTTTTTTATACTAACATTACTTGTGTGAGGGAGCTTCTGTTGGTGCTGCTGGTTGATGTTTTGGGACACAGCCAATTTACAGAAGCATGATCATTGCTATAAATTGTCATGCCATGTCATATCATTTCTCTTTGTGTTGATCTGATTTTGATTTCTTGCTTCTCTTTGTAAGGACACAGAGAGCCAGAGAGCATAGGAAAAGATCAATGATTTCTAAAGGTCCTGAGTCACCACCATCCACACAGCTTTAGCCACCTTGTTGGAAGGAATAATCTAGCCATCAATACATGTTCTCAGATAATGTCAGCCCTTCCAGACCACTGCACATATACCCCCACCCTCCACACACCATCACTGTTTACCCATAAGGTGAAAAACAACAGTAGAGTGATGATTTGTGAAATCCTGTTGAGTACAGAGAAGAACCTCAACACAAGGCCAATCAAACCACATCTTCAACAATACAACCACTCTCTCACCTGTCAAGAATGTTCAGCACCCTTTTAAACATATTTGAGCCCAGTTTCATCTGCATCGCACCTAGTTAATTAGCAGTTTTTGTGATTAGGAATTTGCCAGGGGATTCTTTGATGTCCACTGAGTTTGGGGGAGACGCTCCAAGAGAACTAATGTAATCTGATGGTAAAATATCAAGCCTCAACTGAACAGACACACATACCTGTACTTCTATCTGCGTGAGGACAGTCACTGATAAAAGGCATTCCCTAGACCCTTACCTTAACCTTAATCATCACAGCTAAATACCTTACCCTAACCTAAACCCAAACCTTGTTCTAAGCTGAACCGTAAAACCAAGTCTTAACCCTCGAGAAGCTATTTCAGAAAGTGAGGACCAACCACAATGTCCTCATGTTCTACAAATGTCCGCACTCTGTAGCAAAAAACAAAAAAACACTTTTTTGGTCCTCACTGTGTAGCAAGTACAAGAACACACACACACAAACATATGTATCTGCTGCTAAATGAATCTGTCACAAGTCAACTTATATTACATTGTTTCTACAAAAAGGTCCAGAACAAATCAGAAGTTAGACAAAGTTGATCAATATTGACAAAACTGAAAAAGAAGAAAGAAATATTCTCCAATGTGTCCCTCTTTAATCTGTTCAAATTGTGTCTGTCTGACAGGTTATTGCACCTCCTAATGCAGCACAATACAGCCTTTACATGGTATATGTTCTGGCAATGCACAGCTGAATGAATGTGCCGAGTGGGGATACCATACTGGAATGTATGTGCAGATCATGCATAATGTAAACTAATCTGGTAGGCAGATGTAGCAGCCAAACAACAGCTGTGATCTGTGAAGCAATGCTCCTGAAGGCATTTCATTATCATAAATCCATACAATTACATCCGGACATGTTATTTCAACCAGCCGGGGTGGGGCGTAGGGGGTTATTATTGCCAAAATGTTTGCTGCCATATGGCTGATGACTAAGATATATTTTTTAAGTTTGATAAACGTGAATAAAACCAAGCCCTTAAGGGGTGGTCCTTAATGCCTTATTAATCCAAATACTGTAAATGAAGACTTTGCTCTTTGCTCTCCACCAAGAGCAAGATCATCCGTGCTCCCCTGTCTCCTATGAGAGCAATACAAGACTGTGTTCGTGTACAGAATGAGCGATGCGCTCCTACTGTGGAGGATTAACACGACGGTGACATTTCTGACAGAAATAAAGTGTATCTTAACACAAGACTTTGTGAGATGGGGTTACTGATGGTGCTCGCCTCAAGGTGTTCCCCCAAAAGCACTGGTGGACCCCTCCATCCGCCCACCTCTTCACCTCTAAACACGTCAAAGTGTCTTCCATCCTTACCGCATAGCAACTGCATCCAGGCGCACGTCTTGTAGACCGTGGCGGTGTTGCAGAAGAAGAAGAGGGCGAAGCAGCCGATAGAGCTGATGATGAGCACCATGGACATCAGCATGAAGAAGGAGGCCGCCTTGAATGATCCCGACGGGATGGAACTGAAGTCGGAAAAGCTGCCCTGGCACCACAGCTCCCGGTTGGAGTTCCCGGTGCCCACGCAGTAGTGGAACAAGCCGAAGTGGCCAGCTTGGGGGCTTGTGACGCTATCGCCAATCCAGTAAGGCTGGATGAAGACCACCACGTTGATGATGGCCAAGCAGATGGTGAATATGGCCCACAGGACCCCGATAGCCCTGGAATTGCGCATATAATTTTCATGGTATATTTTGGAAGCTTCTTGCGAAGGCAGCATTTTTCTCTCCCACCCCTAGCCCCCCGCACAGCTGTCAACCAGGTGTTTCCTCTTCTCTTGAGCTCCCTCGTACCCTCCTGTGTATGCTGGTAGAATGGATGAAATGAAATTATATAAACATGTAAATGTATAGGAAATTTAAAAAAAAAAGATTATTCCGCAACAAATGTCCACATGTCCAGTGAATGTTCGGCCCTTTCCTGCTGGAGCTCCATCAAGCAGCAGATCCTGTTCTTTGTTTTAAAGATTAGACTCGCATCCAAGTGCTCCCCTCCTCCTCCTTCCTCTGATCAATCAGTCAATTCGGTGGCGACGCGCGGTTCACCTGAACGGAACAGCCTCTCCTTTCCTCCGCTCCGCAGCACATGAAGACACAGCAGATCCGACAGAGCTCTCGGCGCTCAACGCGCCGGCGGATGACCTGTGTTGCCAGCACGCCACCTCCACCACACAGGCTAACTTAATGTCATTAACCCTGCTTTGCTGTACATTCAAACTACTTCAAAGAAGAGATGCGGTGTTCCCATTGAGCTGGGAGATCCCAAATGACCAGAGGTGCTGAGAAGGATTTTACATGCTTCACTCAGTTATTGAACTCGACAAAAAGGCGACAATTCTAAAACAGTCTATAGCTACAGAAAATATAAAAAAAAAATTAATTAGTCTTCCAACAATCTATTTCTTTCGCCGATACCCCCTCGCACACACCCTGTGCCATCCAGCCTTTCTCTTCGCGCGACAACCACAGAAAGTCACTACTGTACTTGAAAATATGTGAACCCAGCTAAAATATTTTTACCCAATGTGTTCAATGGATCTTTGGTATTTATATTTTTAAAGTGTCTTAATATGGTACTTTCATGCCTTCATGTACACTGAAAGCACTTTGAGTTAGAGTTTGCAGCAATCTGAGTTAGAGAGATTACTTGTTTGAGTTTCCACAAAGTGAAAGGTGTGGTGGAGAAACGGCAACAAAAAGAGGGAATTCTGCACCATCTCTTCAATGGAGCAGAATGATTTTTCAAATAAGACTGGGACATTTTAGAATTCATATGGATAGCAACGCAACACTGTGGGTACTTCAGGGTGGCTGTGACTCAGGGCGGGTCAACCTCTGACTGCAGGGTTGGCAGTTTGATTCCCAGTCTCCCCATTCCACATGTCAAAGTGTCCTTGGGCAAGACACTGAACCCCAAATTGCTCTCAATGACCAGACCTGCGCCTTGCATGGCAGCTCTGCCGCTATTGGTGTTGGAGTCTGTGCATGAATTTGTAAAGCACTTTGTCCAGGTATGGTAGAAAAGTGTTATACAAGTGCAGTCCATGTACCATTCATTGTCTTAGTTTGGAAGTACAGTGTTAGTCAAATAATTGTAAAATAGTTTTTAGAAATACTTATTACAGGCAACACAGCCTGTTTGGAAGCCTGGCTTTGAAGTCATTCAGTTTAAGAGAGTTGAACTTCTCCTTTAAAACGGAGTCAGACTGAAGATCTGGCTTTGTGACTTTGCGTTTTCTGTGGACATTTTTTCACACATGAATGAGCTGAATGTGAAGCTACAAGGGAAAGATCAGTTTGTGCAGGACATGTACACAAATGTGAGAGCCTTCAAATCCAAGCTGACTTTATTCTCCAGACAAATTTCAAACAAATCTTTCGCTCATTTTCCCACACTAGCCATACAGAAAGAGGCCACCCGAAATCACTGGACGACCTGCACGGAGAATTCTGCTGTTGGATCTCTGATTTTGAAAAAATTGACAAGTCACTTCAGCTCATGTCCTGTCCCCTGTCACAAGACCCCGAAACAGCACAAAGCCAGTTCTTGTCACTCAGATCAGGAAATTCGTTGGATTTCCCCATTAACTCCCCAAAATGCGCTAATCTCCTCTTTGAGTTCTAACACTTGTTGAAACACTTTACCCAAACTTAACCAGCGGACACGAGAGTGGTAAAGTAAGCCCTGGTGATCTGCATCGGTTTCCTCCAGGAACGTAATGAACTGACGGTGCTGAAGTCCCCTTGCTCGTATAAAGTTAACAAGTCGTACGACTGGATTCACGATATGATTAAACTGCAATACAGACTTAACACAGAGATTCCTGGTGAATGATGCAGTGAAGGAAAATAACATTCTGGTCAGAGTTTTCCTCTTTCACTTTATCCTGGATTCTTTTCAGCAGCCCTACGTTTTTTCCAGTTAAATTTGGCGATCCATGCGTGGTGACATTGGCAAGTTTACTCCAAGGGAGCATCATTCTCTCGATGACAGCAGAAACACGGCCAAAAGGCAAAGCGAAAAAGTGAAGTAGAGAGGTCAATGTGACTAAAGTGCACCATCTACTGGGGAAACTCGGACATTGCAGGGAAAAGGCTAAACGAATGAGGTTTAACGATAACATAATTTAATAATATAATTTGGACAAGTTCGGCGGACCGGATTAAAAAGCCTAACGGGTCATAGTTTGCCCATGCCTAATCTAGACTTTACTGTATTATAAAAAAACGCCTAACAAACCCCCCTTGAGCAAGCACGTGGCAAAGGAGGAGGAGGAGGAGAAACTCTCTGGCCTTCTGCCTTGACTGGTTGGGGGTGAGTGGATAGAGGAGAGGGGGAAAAAGCATCTAGGCACAATAAACAAAACAACAAACAATCAAACACTGGGCAGGTTGATGTGGCCAGTTCTCATCAGAATTGTAGAGCTCCAGAGCCAAGGCTGCCAGCAGAAAGTTAGAGGGAGAGAGAGGAGACACAAAATTAATGACATGTAATACTGGTATATAAATGCATGGACAGTAAGGAGAGGAGAGGAGAGAAACTCAGAGCATCATCCCATACTTCATGTAATTAAATAAATGTTACATTAATAGTGTAAATAATTCTAAAGGTTTGTTTAGGTGAGGGGAAACACACTATTTCACCCACATATAAGGATGTTCAGTGTAATAATTCACCTGCAGGGATCCCAGGGGATGGCAGAGGAGCAGTTGCTGGACTGCCCCCTGGATTAACTGAAGGATTTTTGGGGATTTATTGGGACATCCTGATAGCAAATAGTTACAGTATTCCAGCTTTGAAGTAAGAATATTTCAATAATAATGCACAATATTTCCAAAATCAGGATGCTCCTGATTTTCGCGATATTGTACAGGTGAAAGAAAGCAGTTCTGGAGACTTGGTTTATGTGTGACTTCAAGGACATATCCTGGCTGAAAATAGCTCCAGGGTTCCTCACAGTAGTACTGGAGGCCAGGGCTATGTCATCTACAGTAACTATATGATTAGCATTTTTCTGATAGTGCTTTACTTTAAAACAATCCACTGACAGGAAAAGGTCTCAGTGAAAGTCAAACCAGGCAAGTTGCAGCTGATGGTCAGTACCTTAATCCTTAAGTTACAGCAGTGCCTTGAGAATGAATACATAATTGTGCTTTTTAATTAGCCTGGGTTAGTCTACTTTAGCTACATTGATGATATGTGTTTCCAGCACCACAACAGGAGATGGCTGCATTGAATTGTACTGCTGTGGTTCGGGTTTTATAAGTGTTCGTATCTTCAGCTCAGTACTGTTGTAGTTTCTACCTGACTCTCTCTGGTCTGGATGTCAGTTTCACTTTTGTTTTTCTTTGTGTTTTAAGATATCAACCTTATTTTACTGTTTTACAGTTGCATCAGTGTAGTTTTCAGTTACTGCTAATGCAATTGTGGCTCCTTACTTGAAAATGTTCCATTGGTGAACTGCTGGGATGGTTTATTGTAAAAAAGTTATTAGAAATACAGTGGATTTCTCACCAAGTTAACAGAGCTGTATTAATGGTTCACATGAACAACCTTACTGGAAAAATGCTGGCACTGTCAGGTTTGCCCGGCTGCACCTGCCTCTCTCACTTCTCTCCTTCTATTTTAGCTCCCTTACCCCTCATTTTTTTATCTGACACACCTGCTTCACATCCCCTGAATCACCACCAGCTGCACCTGATTAGTTTCTCCCTATTTATACCGTGCTCATCATCCACTTCCCTGCCAGTTCTTTCTACACACAAGCCCGTTCTATGCCGATCTATTATTTTTGTCTACTATATGTATTTGCTCACGCTCTTCATCTCAGCGCCGTTCCTGCCTTGTGCCCCGTGTCTTATCTTCCCAGCCACTATTGTTTCTCCGGACCACGGACCTCCTCAACTCTACATCACTCCACCACGCAGGTCGATGCACAGTCTCCCATTAACTGTTTCTGTGACTCTGTCTCCTCAGCAACCATCCACCACGACCAGTCCAGGAGTGAATCCTAGCGTCCGCAGCCCGGCCTCCTCCTTATCATCTCATCACTGACTGTATGTTTTCCATGTCTGCCGCTCGACACCCGGTTCTGCTCCGTATTCCTTCACCTGGTTGTACACATATTGTTATCATCACTGTAAATAAATTGAGCACTTCTCGCACCAAAGTCAGCTACCTGGGTCCGTCATTTTTTACTCGCTCACCTCCCTACCAGAGCGATCATAACAGAAAGAACTGGCCATTATGGACGCTGCTGACTCCGGTGCAAGTAGTTCACCGTCTAATGCACAACTGGCTCAGGCACTGCAGCAGTAACAACACGATCTGGCTACGCTTACACAACAAGTAGCACAACGTACCACCCTCATGCTGTCCCAACAAAGTCACCCTGCCACCCGTTCGACCAGTCCCCGTCTTGATCCTCCCATACGTGAACCGGACATTTTTGATGGTACTGTGGATAAATGCCGAGGGTTTTTGCTGCAGTGCCGCCGGGTATTCGAGCACCAACCACGGACATACCGTACTGACAGAGAGAAGATCAGCTATGTCATAAACCGACTCTGAGAAAAAGCGCTGTCTTGGGCCGAGGCTGTGGACTCCAGTGGTTTACTCATCGGTACCACATCACAGAAAACGACCTGAGGATGGTTTTTTCTCCATCATCTCAGCAGAGCCAAGCGTCTAGGGGGCTTCTGACTATTCCCCAGGGGGCTCGACGAGTCCTGGATTATTCCATTGACTTTCTGGTCCTTGCTACAGAGGCCAGCTGGGAGGACCGCCCGTTACATGCGGCCTTCTGGCACGGCCTCAATGAGAACATCAAAGCTGAACTGAACATGAAGGACGAGCCCCCTGACCTTAGCTCCCTAGTCGACTTGGCCATCCGGATCGACCATCAACAGGGCTCTTTCTGCAAGGAAAGAGCTGGGCAACAGACGGCCCCCCGGCCCCGTGCC